TTTTGCTGCTGCAATTTTCTGCAATCTTGGCTGCTTTTGCTGCTGCATTTTTCTGCATTTTCCTTGTTTCTGCACTGTTTTAAACCAGAAAATTCTGCATTTTCCTGCACATTTCCTTCATGTTTTTTTCTGCACTGTTTAACCCAGAAAAATTCTGCATTTTTCTGCATTTCCCTTGCAGTTTTCTGCATTGTTTTTACCCAGAAAATCCTGCTATTTTTGCCATAAAATTCTGCTGTTCACCCAGAAAATTCTGCTATTTTGCTGCTGTTTTTGCTGTTGTTTTGCCAGAAGAATTCTGATGTTCTTGTCAGAAATTTCTACTGTTTTAAACCATAAATAGCTGCTGTTTTGTCTAAAAAAATTCTGCTATTCTTGCTAGAAATTTCTACTACTTTTGCCCATAAATGCTGCTGTTGCGTGTGACAATGACAGTTGTTTTAAGCATACTCTAAGTGTGGTTAAACATATTTATATGTTAATGGGTAGAAATAGTAAGGGTATGTAGGAAGAAATTGTTACCTTGGATAGAAACTCGATTTTTTGGAAATAGAAGCCAATTTAACTAAATGGGGTACATTGTAATCTTATTTGTTCTTTAATGTGGCATAGGTTCTAAGTCACCACCATCTCCTTGAAACCTTGAATAATTGCTGTTGTAGCCTACAAGAAGAGGTGAGTAAAAGTATGGTAATGCCTTTGGATTTGAGGTAAAGGTTTTTGAAAGCATATTTCTGATGGTTTTTGAAATGGCGGCGGGATTAAACCCATTTTATACAAACACGAGTATGATTGGTTTGAAATGAAATTATTATCATTTTCATTAAGCATGTTTACTTGAAGTTTACTTGACTGCCCTAATGATCTGAAATTTATTTGTAAATTATGGTTTTCCTGTTAAATCCTGCCTTGTTTTGTCTCCAATATGGTCATGTTTTACTGTACCCGCTAGTGGGAGGTTTATAAACGCTAGCACATGTCGACATGTTAATTGTGGAACTGGTTTATATTATACTATTATCTTGCTAGTGGGATTATATACTAGCAAATCTTGTGCCTACTAGTGGGAGGTTTATAAACATTGGTCATGACTTATAAAAGAGATGTTTATTTCATTTCCTATATTTGTATTTTTTTTTCTTAAAATTTTATTACACTTGATGGCATGTTTAACTATAAATGGGGATTATCCATATTTTACTTATTGAGATATCTCATAGCTTTTCCTTGTTCACCATTTTATATAGTGAGACCCGAGACATGGGAAACCAAGGGAAGTGACGAGCTAGAAGGCTAGTAATTGTATTTTGGTCTTAGATCGTTTTGGAGTTAAGTCGTTAGTCACACATACTTTAACATAGATGTTGGATGATCAACCATTCTTCTGTATACCAAGTTCCCTTGGTTATTAGTTATAGCCATGACTATACTGATTAAGTTATGTAATTTTGTACACTTTGGATCTAAGTTACGTGAATTGCTAGATATGATTTAAGTAGGCTTGAGCCTTGTACATTTGTGGGAGTTCCACACAAGTGTACGGCGTTTGTTTTACTCCCAATTTTGGGGCATAACATGATTGCCCTTTTCTAAAGTTAAGGGATTTTTATAATTTTTTTTTTTTAAGTAGAAGAATGATAGTAACTCTTTTTGTAAAATTGAGGGATTTTTAGCAACATTAAATCTAAATATGAATATGCATTTAGAAACAGACAACTCGATTCAAAATTTAAAAATTTATCATATTAATTGTTAATATATATTTGAAAATTTATTATATATTTTGATATAATCAATTTTTAAATTCATATATTAATATTTAATAAACTAGATTTTTAAATTTTGAATTAAGTTTTTTTTTTTAATTTTAAATTACACTATAAGAAATAACATCTTTCACTGCTAATCAATCCCACACATATTCCATGTTATTCGAATTTAATACCCCTTACTATCTCTTACTATCTCTCACTTCTATATATCAATATTTAAAAAAGTAAAATTTTAAAATTTAAATTAAATTTTAATTAAATCAAATTATTTCCTTTAAAATTCCTATTCTAATTTTTTTTAATAAGGTAACTTTTTTTTCTTTATTATATAAATTGAATTAGACCAAGACCTTTCCACATGACCCCTCACCCTGGTATAAATTCCTAGCCGCCCATGCTCGTCCTTCAAAGAGAAACAGCGTCTAGCAGAGTCGCAGGATATCGGTGGCAAAACGCCTCAGCATCATGGTATTTTTCTGTTTTCTTGTTGATCAGAAGCTGAAGGTGCACAGAAGCAAGCCGGCAGCAGGGATTTGCTCCCGGTAGGGCAGCGGGCCCACGTGGCTGATATGAAGACTGCTACACGATTCTGCTATGTGCCCTTCTACTCGAATTTCTTGGAAGGCAGTTATCTGTACTTTCTGTGGCTTAATTCTTCGATCTTACCGATGATTGTATATTCATGAGGACAAGCATATCGGTTCGTATTTTTCTGAAGATTTTGGTTAATTTGTCGATTTATCAAGCTGCAACCTGCTAGTATTCATTATGTACGGTCCCCCTTTTTTCCCTTCTACAATAAATAGTTTCGTCTCATAATGATGATATATTTTTTTGCTTTCAAAATATCAATCTTTTCCTCTGCTCTCTCACAATAACTCTCTCTCTCCTTTAATGGTCGTCGCTTACCTTGGTCATTTAGATGCAGATTATTCTGAGGCATGTCTGTAACTCATGCAAATTTATCATGTATTTATAATGGACTTGGGAAGTTCGTAAGTACCTGCCTAAGACCAATATAAGCACTCGTCTTCGAAAAAAATTAGTTGTTAGTACTATGTTTTACCTAATTAATATGCACTCCATTGGTCACAAAATATAAGTTTTTTAACTCAAAATTTACTTTAAATTAATTGTTCCTATTTTTTATTTTAAATATGTTATTATCTCTTAACTTCAACTATCCATTTTATTTTGTACCAAAAAAAAAACTATCCATTTTATTATTAAAATTTTTTATTTAGTTATTACCCATTTATATATAATTTTTATACATCATATTTATAAAAAAATCTTAATTATTCATCTTTTCAATTTCAATTGTTAAGATTTATTCACATTTTATTATAATTATTAAAGATGGTTATCTTTCTTATCTAAAAGGTCATGATAAGTCTTAATTATTGGAAGTAAAAAAATAAATAATTAAAATTTTATATAAGTATACTATAAAAGATTTAAGTGTACGTGGATCCTTTCATTTCTTTATTTTTCTCGATGACATAAATTGTTCCTAAAGTTAAAAAGAATATTAAGTACCATCAAGAGTTTGGTTAAATTCCACTAATTTAAAAACCTTAATTTATAGTCAAGATTAGAGTTTAAATTCTTTGTTGTGTTGGGCAGCTAACTTTCTAATATACCAAAAAAAAAATTATAAAGTGGCTTTTCTAATAGAAGTTAATGGTGCAATAAATATGTTATTTTGCAATTAAGTTGCATGAAAAATTTAAATTTTGACTTTGAATTAATTAATTGGCAAATCAAAATAATCAACATGAAAAGAGTATTAAAATAAAAGATAACTTTTATAATTTTTTAATGTAAATTAATTATAAAAAGTACATATATTGCATTCTTAGACACATGTTAGGTAAATCCTTCATAAAAATGGCAATGCTATAATTATAATATTATATAGTATTGTACAATTACAATCATAAGGCTGAATCTCCAAATCTGGCTCCAAATAGATAGGAGGGACAAATTCACTCTTAAAAAAGAAAGAACGGATAAATTATCTCTCTAAATTGTTGATTAAAACAAACGATCTATTATTTAACAGTTAACGTTATCATATGTTGAGAATTCATTTGCCACCTAAATTTGTCTTTAATTGAAAGTTGACATGTGATGACGTTAGTTGTTAAATAATCAATCGTTTTGCTCAATTGATGATTTAAATGGGTAATTGCACTACTAGAAAATAGGTTTTAATCGAAAAAAAAATTTTGTCAGTATATAAGAAATTTGGGTTAAAGCCAACTGTAGTCCTCATACTTTGTGAAAATGTTTGTTACCATCCCTCTACTAAGGAAATGTTTGATGTCGTCCCTCTACTTTCCTTACAGTATAAATGTCATCCCTCTACTACACCTTTTTTGTTCAATGTCATCCTAATTGGATGCCATCCACATTTCCATTAATTTTGACCATTAATTACTAACAGTCAAAGATTCAACTTTTTTTGATTAATTTTTTTTTTACCAAATAAGACAAGTGGGACCATTTTTTTTCTTTTGGTTCTGTATTTTTGTTTCTTTCTAGTTTACAGAGGATATGGCATGAAAAAATAGAACAGAGGAATTGGCCCAAAAACAATGCAGCCAAAATAGGCGGCAAAAAAAAATTTGCTCCTGCTTGGTGTCTAGTGTCCATCACATGAGTGGATTTTTTAACCCACTCTCTCTTTATTTCCCAAATTGTGAAAAGCTCAATGCACAAGAATTACAGAGTACCCACTGTAGGAATCTTTGAAAAGGTGAAGACATTGTGCTTGGAGCAAGCAAATTGTCGAGGCTTGTGAAGGCTTTCAAAAAGGTAATAATCAACTGATAATCTATGTTTCATGGACATGGTTTTTGGGTTAGGTTTCAATAAAGTGTAGTAGAATATATTGCTTTGTTCTTTTTTGATATGTGGTCCCAAATGTTTGTAGGTCTCATGAAATGGCTAATTGTATTGAATATGGTATATACTTGAATTTTGGACACAAATTTATTAGGAATCCAATGCTTCAGTATGTCGGTGGCACTTTTCATAGCATATGGTTCAAACCAAGTAGATGTCAACCTGTTGTTTTTAGAGAGAAATTACAAGAGTTAAACATAGACATGGATGGCTTGACAGATTTTGTATGGTATAAACATCTTGCAAAAAAGTTTGATGATGATGGCCTTGTGTTAATTATTTTTGATGAGTCAATTAAAGATATGTTCCAACTACTAATGTTTAATGGGTATATAGATGTGTATGTTGAACACGAATCCCAAATTTAGAGACATGTGACAAAAGGTGGGCCTTCCCACGAAAATAATGGCTCACTAAATGATGCTATAATGGTTGGTGAGATAGTGGCATGTAATGTAGATTGCCATACATATGGGGTTGAAGTTGATTTAGGGGACAAAGATGCTTTAGGTTCTATTACCCAAGAATGTCAAATAGTTGTAGAACATAATAGAAATTTAGGAGATGCAGACAGAAGAATTGGAGATGTGCTAAGTGGTGATGAGTATATTGATGTTCCTTGGCTGACCGACAATGAGGATGAGGAGTGGCAATTTTCAAGGAATCAATATAAGGATACTCTTAAGTTATATGCAGATGCTGTTGGAATAGAAAGGGCTTTAGTTGATCCAAGTGAAGCATATGCTGAGGAAGGGGTCAGCAATTCAATTGATTCTAATGATAAGGTTAGTTTTGTTACAACTAGTGATGATAGTGAGGTAGAAGAAGCAAGAAAAAGGCGTTCACTACACAAGGTGTTTGATGAATCAACAGTTATTCCACAATTTGAAATAGGAATGATATTTTTGAGCAGGAAGCAGTTTAAAGATGCAGTTCTTACACAATCTATTTATATGTGAAGAGAGATAGTGTTGAAGAAAAATGATAAAAAAAAGAGTCAGGGTTATATGCGCAGATAAGAGGTGCAATTGGGTTTTGCTACTTTCTTTGGATGGGAGGACAAGTTGGATGATAAAGACATACCAGGATGAGCATACTTGCAGTTACAGTTTGAACAATAGAAGGGTTAGATCAAGAACTATAGCTAGACATTTCATTAAGACAAGAGGTATTTCAGCTCTGCAGCAACCCAAATTAATATCCAACAATCAATTAAAGAAGAATTGCATCTTGAAATCACAATGAGTCAAGCTAGAAAGGCAAAACAACTTATCATCAAAGAGTTTGAAGGCAATTATGAGAAGGAATACAACAGGTTATATGATTATAGATTAAAGCTTTTAAAGAAGAATCCCAACTCTATAGTTGCAATTGATGCAAGGAGGCCTACACTAGATTCTAAACTTGTCTTCTTAAGATTCCATGTCTGCTTTGTTGCACTAAGGGAAGGATTTATAGCTGGTTGTAGACCAATAATCGGTCTAGATGGTGCATTTCTCAAAGGTCCTTGCAAGGGTCAATTACTATCAGCCATCATAAAGGACGCGAATAATCAAATGTATCCTATTGCTTGGGCCATTGTCAAAAATGAAAGCACAAGCACATGGACATGGTTCTTGGAGTATTTGAATTCTGATCTCAAAATTGGTGATGGACAGTATTTCACCTTCATATCTAATCAACAAAAGGTAATTTTAATTGTTATATGTTATTTTTTGATTAATTTTTAATGCTTGTGAAAATAATAGTCATTTTCTTTTCCCTATTTTATAGGGCCTAATTAATGCAATCCAGACATTGTTCCCTAAAGCATGTCACAAAAGGTGTGCAAGGCATATTTATGCAAATTTTAGAAAGGATCACAAGGGGAGGGAATTGCAAAGATGGTTTTGGATCACTTCCAAATCAACAAATGAAGCAGAATTTAGGAGGAACCTAGAAGAGATCAATAAATTGAAGCCTGCAGCAAAAGAAAGATTGATGAAGTTGGACCCCAAATCCTAGTGCAAAGCCTTCTTTGACAATGATGCAAAATGTGATGCTGTCGATAATAACATGAGTGAAACTTTCAATGGTTTCATTCTAGATGCAAGGCATAAGGGACCTCTTTCACTACTTGAGGATCTTAGAAGAAAGTGCAGCAAGAGGAATATTGAAAAGTTGGAATTTGTTGACAGAAAGTTTAAAGGTTAATTAGGTCCAAAGATTTGGGAGAAGATTGAAGAACATAGAAGCAAAATGACAAGATGCCATATCAAATCACAAGCAAGATGGCATTATGAAGTAGAAGAACAACCATATTCTTTTCTAGTCAATGTTCGTGAGTGTACTTGTAGTTGTAGAGTTTGGCAACTCAATGGTATTCCTTGTAGACATGGAATGCTTGTCATCCAACATAGGGGTGAGTAGTATGAAGAATATGTGCACCCATGCTATAGAAAGCAAGCTTACATTGACACATACAAAAATTTTATCATTCCTATTAATGGAATGCAATTTTGGGCTGATTTTAATATGCTTGAAATTGATCCTCCTATTCCAAAAAAAAAAAAAAGGCCAAGAATGCCTAAGAAAAGAAGACATTTAGAAGAATGGAAGACGGCTTTTGGATCAAACATGAGTAGGAAAGGTAAGGTCATGACCTGTCAAGCTTGCTTCAAAAAGGGTCACAACTCAAGGACATGTCCAGTGAAAAAGCAAAAATCTACTGTAAGTATAAAAGCCAAATCTTTGTTTGTTCTTGTTGATTAAATTTATTTATTTATTTTTGTTTAATATTTAATTGAGTTTTGTGAATTTTAAGATTATTTTTTTGTTTAATATTTAATTGAGTTTTGTGATTTTTGAGACAAGTTAAAGAGTCATTGTCAAATGCTCAAAATCAAGTTCTTGAATCTATCCAGCAGC